CGCTGGAACTTCAATTTTTGATTGTTTGATAGTCAAAGATTGCATTATGAGTTGTTAAAATATGAATATTATCTTATTAATATTGAATATTTAGCTGTGAATTCAATTATAAATTACTTAGATATGATGTATATATTATTCAAAATTCAATGAAAACAAATTGTTATCTACATAGTTAATGTTGTACAAATTTTGTAATTAATTTGTGTAAATGTTTAAATGTGCCACATAGAAAAACCTTCTGATGTTAATATATGAAACTTGTCATATTAATTGTAAATATTTAACTTAACCATACAGACCATGTAAAATATATGGACATTATATTATTGATAAATGGACATTATCATGTTATATACAGGCTTTCTGTTATTTATTAAAACTTTTACAAATATTCAACTTAACCATATGGACCATGTGAAATAGAGGAAAATTTTATTGTTAATAAATTGATCTTGTAATGTTATACATAAACTTTCTATTGTTCAAGTTAAAAATACATTATAAATATTTAACCACACAGACTATGATATATATGGATATTATATTGTTAACAAATAAATACTATCATGTTATATATAGGCTTTATGTTGTTCATAAACCTAAGAAACATTTATAAATGTTCAACTTAACCACACAAACCATTTGAAATAATTTGTTGTTAATAAATGAACATTATCATATTATATACGGACTATCTATTATTTAATATTTAACCACATAGACCATGAAATATGTGAATATTGTATTGTAGACTATCTATTATTTAGGTTAAAAATATGTTATAAATATTTAACCACATAAACTATGAAATGTGTGGATATTATATTGTTAATAAATGAACCTTGTCATATTATATATGAACTTTCTATTATTAAGGTTAAAAACACATTATAAATATTTAATCACACAGACCATGAAATAGATGGATATTTTATTGTTAATAGATGGATATTGTCATATTATATATGAACTTTTTATTGTTCATAAACCCAAAAACTTTTACAAATATTCAACTTAACCACATAGACCATATAAAATAGATGGATATTGTATTGTAATTAATAAATAGACTTTGTCATATTATGTAAGATGTAATGTTTGCCTCAATATTACTAAAACATTTCATTCATCACTAATTCATAGTAATTAGGATTAAATAATTCCTTATATTAAATTACCATAATATAAAAAAGGGTTAAAATTTAACATTTTAAAAAATATAGTTTAAATTGTGATACTAGGAAAAACCCTTGATTAAAAATGTTTGAGCTCAAACATATGTTAAAAATATCAAATAAGAAGTTGTGGAAGCATGTCAATAATGGAAAACAAACAAAATGTGACACAACAGGGGTAAAATGGGCATTCTGCCCAACTTGTTCCATTCGCTATGATAAATGACTCAATTGGTGTTTGTTGCGGCCAATGCTTAAGTTGGTTACAGTGGTGAACATAGCTTGTCATAACAGCATACTTGCTGTTGTTACAACACCAGGAGATGAGCTTTTAGAGTGCGTCATTTTGCCATTTGAACTCTAAATTAAGCAATCTAAGCATCCACACATAGCTAATTTAGCTACCGAACACATAACATTGGTTACACGGTAAAACACTATACTAATTAAGAGTTGGACACTTGAGTACAAAATCACCACTTTCCATCTTAAAACTCTCCAATGTGTCTAAATTTTCCCAACAAGTGCCAAAAGCCTTTGGACTTCTTAAACCAACTCAAAGACACCAAACTACACCTAATGAAACAATCATACAATCCAATCAATATACCAATGCTTTTTGGCCACTAAACCCCATTTAATAATAACAACAAGGCATAAAATCATAATTCATAGGAATATGTCATAATGGCTAATCATATCATCCTCACCAAAATAAAACATACATTTATGCTAGTATTTTGACCTCTCAACATGCATTCAACTCATACATATTATCTTAGGCTGAAATACCTCAAAAAGACATGCTGTTGTCATCATGCTAGTACAACAAGAATGAATGTCTATCTTAAGTTGGTAATGACAAATATATATATATATATATAGCTCTTCTACTCCTTAGCCACTTCTTCCTTCCTTTTGCCTTTAGAGAAGCCTTTGCCTGTAAAATTTTAGCCACAAGAGTAAGAATAATGTCTTAATAATCAAATAATCTAATCTATCTACTAGCAAGTTAGGAAAAATTATGAGCAATTGAAGTGGCAAGAAACAAGTAAACAATTATCGAGTATAATAATGTATTTTTACATCTAAACAAAGCATGATCTTTCACAACCATCTTATCTCTTCCATATTACCTTTGATTGAATTCATGGACTAACAATTTAACATGACTAAGTCTATGTGATTAGACTAGCTCAAACTTACCAATTATGGAAGGTAGCTCAGCCAAAAGTTCCTTCGCCCATTTTTGAACCACAGATTCCTCCTTTTTAAATACTTGGGGTGTTACATGCCTTATCTACCTCAATAGTAGCATTAGGACTTTCAAACAAATAAAACTAAGCACAAGAGCCACTCAGGTGCTAGTAGGTATCATATGATCATGCTTATACAATGTGTCTCCATAAGGTATGCATAGATTCCAAGTAGGCATATTTACATCACATCATATATAATTCAAAAACCACATACTAGCATCTTTAAGTTTAAAGCAAATTTCACAAGCATCTATATATAAATACTTGTGTTTGACCTAAAAAAAGCTTGTTTCACAAAATTGCCACTTCACATAAGTTTTTATAAAAATAAAAACACGTGTCTTTCATAGCAAAATAATAGTATAAAATTTCACAATAACTCATAACAAACCAAATATACACATAAAAGGATTAAATTATTTGATTACCTTAACTTTTTATCACATAAAGGGTTACTTGTGGGAGAATAACTTCTCTATCTCAAAAGAGTTTGAGCAATAGTTAATTTATAAGATTAGATGCTAGGCATAAATTTTCAATCCTGCTAATCATATTTTTAGACTATACTTAATTGTCCATACTCTCAATTCTTTATCGTTAGCTCAACAAACTCCTAAATCATCAAATAATTAATCACTAAACTTAAGTATAGAAACTTAAATTAACTCCTAATAATCCCAAAGAGCAAAATAGGTTTGGCCAAAATTCAAGGAAGGATGAGTTCATCATCCCGTAACACCTAACACCTTTGAAAATTTAGGTAGGAAAGAGGAGGAAGGGTTAGGAAGCTTACCTAAGTGCTTCTCTAGCTTAGGAAGCCTCCAAAGTAGTCTAAAGTTGAAGCCTTAACAACTAGAATCTTGTTCTCTATCACTTCTCATCCTTCCTCCTTTTGTATTTGTCGCGAGTGACTTGTGATAGACTTAATAAAATTATCCGTTTGCTATAGTGAAAGGGCATGCTCATTGAGATAGATGGCCTAGCCTGGTCCAACGTGAATTAGACTTTTTCTTAAGACCTAGATGCCTAATAACCATCCTAGTCCAATACGAAGATATGCCCAAATGATCTAATAGGTCCATTGGTGATCTAAAAACCTGATAAACTTATTTTATTTGTTGTTTTTACTAATTCACCTTAATTGAATCCTTAATTATCAAATTTTAAAAATTTTGGGATGTTACATATGGATTTTTTGTTATTCAGGTTAAAAATACATTGTAATTGTTTAACCACACAGACTATGAAATATATAAATATTGTGTTGTTAATAAATGAATCTTGTCATGTTATATATGGACTTTTTGTTATTCTTAAACCTAAAAAACTTTTATAAATGTTTAACTTAACCATATAGACCATGTGAAATAGAGGGACATTGCATTGTCAATAAATAAACCTTGTTATATTATATACAAACTTTTCGTTATTCATAAATATGGGAAACTTATACAAATGATCATTGCAAATAATTTCATTTACATTACAGCAAGTGTTCTTCAAACAAACACTATAATATATACCGTACATCCATTTACAAACAAAATCAACTTAAGATAGCACAAACACAATCCTAGATGAATACTAATTACATTTTGATATTTCATCCTATTATTTTTATTTTTCTTTGGTTTTTGCTGTGAGTGCAAATGACACTTTCAGCTTTGACATTATTGGGATGTTTCACTGGTCAATACAAAATGTCACACTTGAATCATTTTATACTTTTGCACAAATAAGCAAAGTTCATAAATTTACAAGTAAAAGTCTTAATATTTACAAGTATATGTTTAAATATTTACAAGTAAAAGGCTATATCTTGATAAGCAAAGGTTTAAAGTTGACGTGTTGTCAAAATTCACAAATTTACAACTAAACGGCCACATGTTCACAAATGTAGGTTCAGTTATTCACAATTTAAAGTTCAGAATTTATGACTTCAAATATTCACAACTTAGTGCTATCAAGTTCTAATTTTCACAACTTCTATTGTAGTTCTCAAAAATCCTAAATATATATATCCAAATGAAAGATGAATAAACCCATTTCAAGGCCTTTTGCATAAATCTAAGTTAGTACATGGAGAGACTGTGCAATATAGAAAATGAGAGAAGGGAAAGAAGGAAGAGAAAGATGAAGAGGAAATGAGAGAAGGAAGAGGAAGGGAGAGGAGAGGAGGGAGAAAATATCATATTGTCAAAAATTGGTTGGATTTGGGAGGGGCAAATGGGTCTTTTTTCTCTAAAATATATTTTCATCCAAGGCCTTTGAGCTTGTAGAGGCATTTCAAATTGTATTGGGCTATAAATGTAATTTTTTCTCTTTTAGCACCCTTAGATATGATTCTTCCTTTAGACTACTTTCAAATAATACTTATTTTTTTTAAATGAAAACTTACGAGAAGTTTTTAATCTTTTACTGGCTAGTGCCATCAGTTCTTGTTTAAAATTTGAAATTCAATTTGTGATCAATTTTTGCACCAAACTATTTTTGATTAATCATCCTAACACTAAAATTAGGGGGGGAGGGAACGCAAAATTTGCAAAGCATGGATACACACACATGAATAACAGCTTACTTAATACCCAGCATATCATAAAGTACAAGTACAGACCATTAGAAAACAGTTCAAGTCCTCACGAGTAACAACGAACACACTGATATTACTTAAGACATGCAAATGAGATGAGCTTGGATTTGAAATCAGCGTCAAAGAAAGAGACCATTGTTTTTGAGTTCAGACTTTAGCTTTCCCAGTTGATCCTCTGGCAATATGATGGTCACAAACTTGCCTTCACCACCATTCTTGACTGAACCTTTTGGCCATGGAAGCACCATAACAGCTCCTTCATCTCCGACACCTTGAATGCTATAGTATACGAATTCTGGTTTATGTCCATTCACTTCCAATCCATACACGTCGACCTCTTCCAAATCCACAAATGTCAAATTCGCCCCGTACACAAAGAAATCACTCACCCCTTCATCCTTATCCACTGCTTCTTCAATCTCTCTCCTCTCATCCACTCCTTCAGCAGCCAGCATCATTGCCAATCTCTTCAAATCTGTCTCAATTATTGAAGATTCAACTTCGACCCTGCTTATGATCTGTTTGTTGCCTAGTATATCACGCTTCCTATGGCATGGATCTTTTCTGCATACTGTCACTTTATTGGGTCCAGGTCCGGGTCCTTGCCTCGCCTCCGCAATGCATCGCCATATTACGGCACAAAGAGATTCGAAAGGAGGGGTCTGATCAATAGTTGGACCCCAGATCTGTGCTTGAAGGTAATTCATTTGAGAACTTGTCAGGTGGAAGGAGAATGTGTCCATTTTGCAGTTGTTGGCAGGTATCCAATGGTCACCCACTGGATCGACCCGTTTTAGGGTGATTGGATCCGGTCCAGATGGTGATTGTTGGGTTGTTGGGATCGGTCGTGGAATATTCATGGGCTTCAACCCCAAACCAGCCATGGCTTGACCCCAACCCTTGATGAATTCAGCAGCTGAATCAGGATCCCCAAGTACATGGGCCCAGCTTAGGCCCAATGACATCCCTCCACAAGCGAAATGAGTTACCTACAGAAGAAATTTGTTGGATTCGATTCAAACAAAATGATTATGATATTATTATGAAGTTATAACTATAATGAGTTTTTATTAAAAAAAAATTATGGTTTTTTTTGAAATAGTTAAATAAAAAATTGAACTATAATGTTTAAAGTGTAAGCCATTAAGTGGTGGGGCTTCTCTTTCAAGGACAACAAACTAATGAACGGCACATATATCATCGCACGAAGAAGACGACCTTACGTCGATGCAATATCTCAAACGAGTAATAAAGGAAAGATATGGTCCACCATACTATATATGGGAAAAAATGTAAGTAATATTAAACGATGTAATTATATCATACTTTATTGTTTAAAACTTGTTATCATAAAAAGGAAGTGTTGCGTGTGTAAGGTGCGTTCAACTATAATTATACTCTTGAACATACTCTTTTTGTTCCTATTTATAATGTTAAGAGATAAATTTTTTTTATCTTATTTATAAGTCACTTTTAACATATTTCACTAGAACAAAAAAAATTCAAAACTTATTAACTCTTTTTTAAAATTTAATAAGTTCTTAATTTTATCCTTATTAAATATATATATATATTTTAATAATATATTTTTTTTTTCAACATTTAATGAAGGGTAAAAAGAGAATTTATATTAAAAATTTAATAAGATGATTTATAAATAAAATAAATTTTTTTCTCTACCCTATAAATAGAACTAAAGGAAATACATTATTGAATTTTGAGAGAAAGTACTTTTTCTGTTTCAAAATATAAGCAACTTTTAACAAAAAATTTACTTACCAATAAGGTCCTTGTTCTCACATAAATCTATTTACTCTATTATTTTCTCTTTTCACCCTTAGTTTTAATTTATGATGAGTGAAAATTTTTTCATAAATTCATAGGCACGAGAATCCAAGTTAATAAATACAATAGGTAAAATGAATTCTTTTTTACTCCTTTTGTCTTATTTATAGGGTAAAAAGAAAAGAAAATATTTGGTCCTATTTATAAAGCATTCGTTAATTTTCAATACTCCTCTTTACATTTTTACTTTTATTAAATGTTTTCAATAAAAATACCAGTAATGAGATTTAAGAATATTTATTAGGGGTAAAGGTAAAAATTTATTAAATTTTAAAATCAAATTAATAAGATTTAAGATTTTTCTTAATTTTAGTGAAACATACTATAAGTGATTTATAAATAAGATCAAAAGAAATATATACTAAGTTGCTTATATTTTGGATCAAGATAGCTAGGAAAAAATGCTTATATTTTGGATTAAGATAGTTAGGAGAAAATGCTTATCTTTTAGATTTAGATAGTCAGGAGAAAATGCTTATATTTTGGATCAAGAAGGATATCTTATTAAAATATGTATATTTAATAGGAATAAAATTAAAAAATTACTGAATTTTTAGACAAGATTAATGAGTTTTAAATTTTTTTTAATTCAAATGAAATGTGTTGAAAGTGACTTATAAATAAAACTAAAAAAGTACAAAATAATAGTGTACAATTTCGTTGGAGAGTTTTATATAATTAGTAAAAAATTGTCCGATCACATTGAGGATGTGCAACCAACAAAATACGAGTTTCAAACATAATTAGTTAGAAAATAAGGGCTACCTACTCTTAATTATCATGGAATGGCGGATGAGAAAACTCCTGTACAGGAGTATATTAAAGGGGTGTGACGGCTCAATCTAACCAAATTAATCAATTCCAAAGTCAAATATTAAATATAACACCCCCAAAAAGAAGGGTGGGGGAGACCCTACTTAAAAAAAAAAAAAAAGCCATAAGAGTGTGTCTGTGTATATATGCAAAAGGAGGCAAGCAGAGTTAAAATTAAAGTGGGAGAATTATACACGGATCCAAGATGCTAATTAATTATGAGAAAAATTAGTTTTAACAAGGCGGAGGTAATGAGAATAGTGGGAAGATCTATTCACGGGAAAAACAATTCTTAATTTTTGTAGGATGCAGGGGAGCACAATTATGTTGAGTGATACTGCTAAACAAAACCATGAGCCTCCTCGTCCCTTGCCTAGGCCGGGCATTAATGGAGGCGTGGGTACATCATGCCCAACTAGGTAAAGGATCCAACTTAATAAAAAGGCTGAGGGGCATAGTACGTAATTTTGTCATGCGATCTGGCGATTGAAACAGTCATGTGAGAGTAAATAACAAGAGGAAGAGGAAAATCCAGAAAGAGAATATACCTGCAATAAAACTGGGGGAGAGAAGGATAATTCAGGACCAATAACTTGGTGAGAAACCAGGAGGCGATGCAAAGGCCAATCCTTCATGTGGAGCCAATCATCTAGGGTTTTCTTGCACTTGCCCTCGATGAACCTGGCTCCGCAGTCGTTGCATTTGATGTAGGGCCGGCCGGAGTCTGATCGCCGGAACCGCCCGCAAGTGATGAAGTAGTGGTTGAACCAGCTGAACATGCTCTCTTTGATCTTCATGATGCTCAGCCCTCGGGCTGCGTCCCCGTGAAAGAAGTAGACAACTCTCAGGTAGTGAAGCTTCATGGCCAGGTCCAGGCAGCTAGGGCTGTGGAACACATCGGTGCCGGATACGCGAGCTGGACCGACGGAGGAGAGCCTGACGTCAGAGACCAAGCTCTGTTCTTCTTGAGGGAACACCATCGTTATAATTGGGAGGCAATTGAAGGGAGGAAGGAGATATGTATAGCAAAGGGCCGCGCGTGTTATTGGTTCGTACAAATGGAACACTTAGACGGCTTACTCTGTCCCTGTGCGTTAAATTATGTGCATCTCCCTTCCTATGACCTCAGTTGACTTCCCTCCAATGCCCACAGTGAAAGATTAGATAATTTAATTTTGCTAGCTTTTAGAGGTAAATATTAATCCATAGAACGGTTCAGCTTTACAACGGAGAGCTAATGTAATCATTTTACTTCTCCCTATCACCTAGGACACTTGAACTCTTGTTTCACATTTTGCGATTTTCTTTTTAATGTGCATCCTAGCTATATTTTGGTTTTAAAAATAATGAAATTAGAATTTTTAAAAACAATAATATATAAAACTCAAGACCATCCAAAGGATACTTATATAACAGTTTTCTTTTTTGGTTGCGGAGGAGCTATTCTAATTAGTTATAATATTAAAATATGTATTAAATACTTAAATTTTGAGGTGGTGGATTATAGCTGGGAACATGCTTGGGAACCACAAGTAATGTGATGGCGCCAGGTTACCAAGTATTGATTAACATTGTTTAAGGAGGGAGCGTTACATGCATGTGCGAGACATAAAAGGTTGAAAATGATTTTTTGAATGATTTGGGAGGTCAAGTGGGTGAGCATATATGCAAACAGAATAGTGGAATTTTTTTTTTTAATAAGACAAGGAAACTTCATTCAAAAGAACTATAATGGGTACAACCTAAGAAGAACTAAACAAGAAACAAGAAAACGTCAAAAAAGGACCTCCCAAAGAAAGCATAAATAAGCCTAATAAGGAAGTTCCTAGTGCAAATTAAAATCACAAGGAGTACTAAGAATACTGGAAAGTTAGGTATGACTTTTAAAACACAAGGGATAGCTTATGGTCATATATTTTGGTCAACTATGTAACGATATATAGTAAGTAGGCCCATGGCTTTGAAGGAGGGTTCACGAGCCAACTATAGATAATACCCAACTTGCTTCATTAAATGGAATCCCGTAATATCTCAACCACCATTTCGCTGCTCATATTTCCAATAATTGTTCCCTCTCATTCAACTATATCATGCTTTCTTGAATCAATCATGAAATATATATAAAAAGTCAAGTCTTATGAAGAATCCTTCTTTTATGAGCACAAAACCTCGTCAATCTATTATATGAATGATATAATGCTATCATCTAAACGCACCACCACGTTCACCTGCGTCATGAATGATCGTTTCATGAAAACAATAAATGATTTAAAAAAGAAACTTAGCTCCTTTCTATGGATATCGGTCTTGGCTACCAAAAATCTTGCGCTGGTCTGCAAAACAAAGAGCTTAATAATGAGCTGCCATCTTCATCCAAAGTGCCAATTGTACAATAGAAAGTGGAAAAGCGTCGATACCATATTAACTGTCTACCTACTTGCAGCTCACCATCCACATAGTAATTCATGGCATGATTTCAAATTCAAGAACTGCGTCTCTAAACAAGTATATATGTCGTCCGAGCAGAGATGTGAGTCGTGAATCCGACACATATATAAATCCCGTACGACGTGTCACGCATGTTTGTTTCGGGATTGTGTCAAGTCTGTTGAACCGGTTCGTAATTACTAGGCTACTAGCTACTATGATGTGCCTGAATTAGCGTTGGGGTTGTGTAATCTTTAGCCGTAGCCTGATCCCCAACGGCCCACGAGGATGAGGTGTCCCTACCCGAGGTTCATAAACAATTTATCTTAAACTTATTATTAAAAGTGATATATATATATATATATGCAATATGCATGCACATGCACGTAAGATTTGTGTGTGTGTGTGTGTGTTCTCCATCTCATTTTCACGCATCCAGCTAACTAGTGATTTTTCATTATGCTAAACTAAACTAGCTTCAATATAATAATGACGCTGACACCTTTAATTCCAGGATAATGATCTATAATTAATGGCGGATTTACAACATGAATATATTCTCGTCCTCAAATCTTAAAAATGCCCACCACACAAAGAACGATCTGCGCGCCAGTAAGAAAGATTTAAAGAATTTTACAGAGCTCACAAAGTGTTATCATATTGGCAACAAAATCTGAATTCCGAGCCCACACTTCACGTGAAACATAAGAAGGCATACCCTTGCCAAATAAATAAGACTACATTGATCCATGTGCTTGATTTTAAGTTGTTCAAATGCCATTAAATGTTAACTTTGTAAATATCTTCTTCCAACCCCAAACATCAATCCAGCCCTTTCAGCCTCAGATATTTTTAGTTTACGGAGTGGGGGTCCTTAGTAATTTATAGGGTACATGTGTGGACGAAGAATTGACTACAGGCAAGCACCATTAGCAGGGCCGGAACCAGCTTCCAATTCTGAAGCCAAATGCTTGATTAAAAAAATTAACACTACATTTAATTAAAAATATTGTAATTACGTGATAATATATATCAAAGGTTATAGCTTTTCTTTTTAGATAAGAAAACCTTAGCCATTCTCTCCTTTATATCATTAAAATCATCTACAAGAGATTCTATATCAAATGTTGTCACAATTCTCTTTTTAATATACACAAGCAAAGAATCAGAAACATAACCATCATCCATCTTATTGCAAAGCATGATCTTAATAGTCTCATAGTTGAAAAAAATCATTGTGTTGTAGTTCTATAGAAATTGAAAAAGTAAGAATTAAAATTACAACTCTGTATATAAGAGGATAGATATCTAATTTTCTTGTTTTTCATACACCATTGGCATAAATAAGAAATGGTAACCAATATTTAAAAACTAAGAAGTTGTTAGACATGGCAAAAATACTCAAATTATATCTTTAATTGTAACATTTCATCATGTGCCAAAAAATCTTGTGGGTAGAACTTTTTCTAAAATCTTGCAAATATCATCAATTCTAAAAATTATGCATATTTCTCTTGGATCAAAACTAAAACTAAGCTAAAAGTAAGCAACTTCAATTGAAGCTTCAAAGGAAGCCTATTTTCTATAATTTCTTGAGTTTCAAATCTACGAGCAATCTGGATATCTTGATTCATGAGATTTTCACATGCATGTTTTGCAATTCAATGTGGAGAATCATTATCTTTGCCAATATGTGTCATAATACACAATTTCTCTCATCTCTCACCTTTTTTTATGATCAAAATCCATTGACTATAAATGCATCTTATTCAAAATGTCCATTTTGAGAATGAAATAAGCAACAAATAAAGCAAACAAAATGTAGCATCTACACAAGGGGAATAATATTTCAACCATAATGAAAACAATTTAAACCACAAATGCTTGAAAACTATGGGGATGCTTTTCTTTAGATTTTGAATACTTTGACGACATATATTGTTGTGGACCGGCTTTAATATAATCTCTCATACTTTCATCATGCGTCTCAGCAAGATATTCTCATATTTGTCCCCTCCATCATGGATCATGTTGTAATGAGTTGATATTGAAATTTTTATTGATCTTAAATTCTTGAAATTTTTTAAGGAGGATGTTCGAGAAGTAGCTCCTCAATAGAAGGTTGCAGTTTAGTTTTTAGCAAAGAATTTAATCTTCCATAAGGTTGTTGTATTATTTCAACATTCTTTCTTTTAAAGTATAAGTGTAGTGTCTTTTTCATCTAAAAAAATTACAAAAATTCTATCTCCATTAAAAAATTTATTTTTAATGTTTTAAGATGTAATTAATGTGCTTTTTTCAAAAATGCTCATAATAAATAAATTATTTTATATTTATTTTTAAGTGAAATACTCTATTAAATAAAGATAAATATAAAAACATGATATTAATTTAAAAATAAGTAACTACTTTATAATCGGCAAAATTAGGTTAAAAATATCTTACATTTTTTAATAAAGAGAGTAAGAAGCTAACAAAGAATCTATTTTTTTTAATTTAGAGAAATATAGACCTTAATTAACATGTAAACACAAGTAGTGACAAAAAACATATAAATATTATAAAAATAAAAATACCAAAACTAGAAAAATACCGTGTCTTTGTGAATTGCAAGCCTTTTCTTTTCTCTTCAATCTTTTCCATCTTTTATTGATTGAGTGTGAGTTGCTAAATGTTGAAAGGTTGAATAAGGGCATTTATAGGTTTGGTTTGGTTTTGAGAAAAAATCAAATGAAACTAAAACAATCGATTTACTATATTTGAGACCTATTCAGTTTTTTCATCCAATCAGTTTGATTTCATTTTTGGGCGATTTAGTTTAGTTTGGTTTGGTTTAAGTTTTAGATCAAACTTGAAATTTTTTTAAAGATATTCTTTATAATGATCAATATATATTCATGTTCACTGATAATTTTTAACTACTAATTACCACTTGTAATGAAAAAAATCTCTTGATCACAAAAGGATATTTTTTAACAATTAACATTACAAGTAAACAAAAATTTTTTCATGGAATTTTCTCTCAAAGAATCTGTCACGAAATGATGAAAACCCAAATAGAGAGAAATTTGAAGAGAACAATATGAGAAAATTAGAGAGAGAAAACTCACTTTATGGTAGAAAAATGTTCTCCCACTTTAATTCGTGAGAAATGTTTGACAAAAATAAAAAATTGATAAAAAAATGAAAATAAGAACCCATTAAGTTTCTCTCAAACTTGCCTAAGAAAAATTCAATGAGTTCTCTCAGATAATATTAAAAGAAATATTTTCTCAAAAAGTATCGAAAGAACTTTCTTTCAAATTAAGTCGAGAGAAATATTTTCTCAAACCGATTGAAAAGAGTTGAGAGAAATATTTCTCTCAAATTAAATTGAGAGAAATTTTTCTCTTAGAATAAGCCGAAAGAAAAGTGTCTCTTGTAATATTTAAACTTCTCTTTTAAAATTTCTCTCAGATCTTTCTGACAGAAACTTTCTCTCAAACTTTATAGTAAGAAAAATTCAAATTCTCTCAATTTTTTTTAAGAGAAACTATAAAAAAAACACACATACACACATTATTTATTCAATACTCATATTATGTATATTATTGAATGAGATGGTCCAATACATGACAAAAGTGATTGAACAACAAGAAGGGGCAGACACTAA